AGGAGATAAATAATTTCAACATACATTAACTTGGAATGACTCTTGTTGCTGTTGTTAAACACCATCAAGTCCTTTCCAACTTAAAGTGACCCTGCATAGGGTTTCTGAGGAGCGACTGGTGAGTTTGAACTGCTGATCTGGCAGTTCAAACTGACCTTGTGTCCCAGTGTGTTATTCTGCAGTGCCATACCAGGACTCTACTGGAATGACTCTGTTGTTCTTGTTGTTAAGTACCGTGGAGTCAGTTCCGACTCATAGCGACCCTGCACAGGGTTTCCAAGGCTATAAATCTTTACGGGAGCAGAAAGCCTCATCTTTCTCCCGCGGAACCCCTGGTAGTTTCTAACTGCTGACCTTGAGGCATCTTAAAATTAAAAGATGTGAAAGTAATGTATTACATGTAATATATTTCATGTACTTAATAACCAATGTCTTAATTATAAAGATAATTTAATTAATAATTATAGTTATTTTGGATTCCAAAATTAAAACATGAAACATAAAGTCAATACATCAAAAAATTGAAAATGATTCAGAAAATAAGACTAAAATTTAAATATAACCTTATATGACAAATGTCAGAAATAATTGACAATTTAGGCATTCAAATGACAATAAATTTATCCTTTTCCTTCAGTTGTATGTCTCATTTTTGCTGAGATCATATCCTAGTTACGTAGTGCTGCTATAACAAAACTACTGCAAGTACATGATTTAACACAGAAATATATTTCCTCACAGTTCAGTAGGCTCGAAGTCCAAATTTTGTGTCTCAACACTAGAAGAAGTCTTTCTCTCTCTGTTGACTCTGAAGGAAGGTTCTTGTTTCTTTAGCTTCTGCTTCCTGTTTCCTTGGATATATCATGAAACTTGGCACTTATCTTTCCCCATCATCGCTTGTTGAATCTCTTTTGTATCTCAATTGGGATTGATTTAAGATAAACCCTATGCAAATATGTAAGGGTTAATATAACAAAGACAACCCATTCCCAAATGGGATTATAATCATAATCATAGAACTTAAATTTATAACACATATGTTTGGGGGACATAATTCAATCCATGAAACTGTATGAAAAATATCTAAGAAAACATTACATTATTATCTTTAAATAGCCCATTTGTTAAGTTACTTGACACTAGAAAATCATAAAAATTCTGAGACAGAGGTGGTGGGAAGGATGCTTGCACATGGTGTTTGGATATGACACAAGGGAGCTACAGAAATAAATTGTGTTTCTACAAAAGATGCTTTCTTGGAAAGTGACTGACCTTTTCTGGAACATATATTGCTAAGTCTTTGCCTATTTAAACTCTCCACAAACTCTGTGCCTTTCTCTGCAAACACATTTGTGTGTGTGTTAGTGGATCAAGTTATTTCTCCTGTTTTCCTTCCTGAATAGTACTTAAATAACAACAAAGGTAGAACATTGTTGTGAAAACGTAGCAGTTAAGTGTATTCAAAACAGGATGTATTTCACGTAGCAGTTAAGTGTATTCAAAACAGGATGTATTTCACTTACATTTATGACTTTGCAAAGCAATTTCAACTCACTTATCTCATTTGATTCTATGAAGAATTGTTATCCTAATTTTATATGTGAAAAAACCTCAGAAAAGTTAATATGCTTAATTCTACAACACAGACAAGTGAAGGAAATGCTAGTCTTGTGCTCCAAAGCAAGTATTTCTTCTCTACACCTACTGTTTCATACCTAAGTAGATATTACTTGTCTTGTTTTATCAATAGAATCTATACTGAATCTGTAAAGTAGATCAAGTACCGTAGTTTTCCCTCTATTATTCTATATTCCAGAATGTTAATTCTAGAACCTATAACTATTATCTCCCTAGAAATCTAAGGAAGACAGTAAGACTAGACAGCAGTACTTTGGTACAAGTGCCTACACTTACTATAAAGTCACTTCTTTTCAAGAAATATTGAATGTAAGAAACAAACAGATGTAGGATGACTATAACAAAGTCTTTGCTCTTGAAGAATTCAAAATCTAATTTTAATTATAAAGAAAATATAAGGCAGTATGAGTGGGGCTCTTAACCTCAATGTCAGGAGTTCAAAACTACCAGTCTTTCCACAGGAAAAAGCTGAGGTTTTCTGCTCCTGTAAAGATATGTTGTTGTTGTTGTTAAGAGCCATTGAGTTGGGTCCGACCCATAGCGACCCTGTACAGGGTTTCCGAGGGTGTAAATCTTTACGGGAGTAGAAAGCCTCATCTTTCTCCCGCGGAGCGGCTGGTAGTTTCGAATCGCTGACCTTAAGGTTCGCAGCCCGATTCTTAACCACTATGCTACCAGAGCTCCTGTAAAGATATACAGCCTCAGAAACCCTATATAGGGTCGCTATGAATCAGAACTGACTCCACAGCACATAACCACCACCACCATGAGATAAGTACCATAGTAAGGCACATGAAAGTACAAATTAGACAGTTAAATGTTCTTCTCATTGTTTTCTTTAATTTAGCTCTCTTTAGACAATGTGTAATGGAAGCATGGTAGCTCTCTACATAAGCACAGGTATGCTAACTACAAGGTCAAAGGTTCCTGCCCACCAGCTGCTCTGTGGGTGAAAGATTAGGTTTTCTGCTCCCACAAAGATTTACAGCCTCATAAACTATACAGTGTTGCTATGAGTTGACACCGACTTCATGGCACTTAATAATAGCAACTGGATATTCAAAATCCTGGTGTGGCCCAGTAAGATAAGCCCTGGATTGCTAAGTGCAATGTTGACAGTTCAAACTCACCAGCCACTCTTTGGAAACTCTACAGAGGTTCACTATGAATGGGAACAAACTCCATAACATAACAACATTATGTATTTGGAAATGTATAGGAATACAATAATAATAAAAATGCACATGACTATTATAAGTTCTGTCAATTATTCTTATACTTGCTAAAAGCATTTTATCTTAATTTGATGTACTAGTCAATTTATGTATCTGTACATGTATATCCACATATCTTTACATTAGTCTTATATGTAAAAGTGCCATATGTACAGCATGTAATGCCCTATGTGCAGCATGTAGCGACCACAATACTAATAATCAAACATCTTGCCACCCACTGCCATCAAATGGATCCTGACTCACAGTGACCCTGCATAGGGTTTTGAGGGTTGTAAATCTTTAATGGAGTAGAAAACCACATCTCTTTTCCTAGAGCAGCTGGTGGATTTGAATTGCCAAACTTGTGGTTAGTAGTTCAGTGCCACCAGAGTTCCTTAATAATCAAATATACATTATAAAAAATGAAACTTTAAAATCATATGCCCACAATTCAACCTCCTAAACAAATAGCAGTTGAGAACTTTATCCCTCCAGTTTTTACAGACAAGCAAAATAAGGGTGTACCCTACCTTTAAAGGACTTTTGGCGTAGTGCTGTAGGATCAGCACTTGTCAGTTCAAACCCACCAGCTGTTCCTCTGAAATCATATACAAGGTAGTTTTGAGTTGGGACAGACTCCATGGCACTTAACAACAACCTTTTAAAAATTTTTAGAAGTTTTTATTGTGAATTGAGTGATAGTTTACTTGGGAGAACATCAGCTTTACAAAACTCATTATTTCTAATCATCAAGTCATCAAAGCTACGTCAAATGGGTACTATCAACAAGTTTGGACATTCTTGTGCATCTCTCCTCACTTCATATCATACAAATTCTTCATTCTCAGCTCTCTAGCCCTCTGTGGCTATGTCCTCGTCCATGGGCTCAGGAGTTCCTGGGTCTCACCACACTTTGGCCAACCAGCCCTTCCTCTTCTCACTCTCATCTCCACATCCACTGGAGTCTATGGAAGGTGGTTGAACTCAGCCCATATCTTCATTGCTGCCTTCCCCAACCCCCTCCATTCACTAGTAGACAAACGTGGTCACCAGCAATCTTATATGCCTGTTCATGTGTTCCCTTTGCGGTTCAGTCTTAACAGGGGGGTTTGTCCTAAAGGGACTTGATTGCTTTCCTTGATGGCTCCCAAGCTAACAAGTTGTTTGTTCTTATAGTAGCCAATCACACTGCAGTTTTTGTTTTGGATTTTTCCTGCTGGTCTTTCTTTCAGAAAGGAAACAATTACATTTAAAAAGTTAATTATCCCGTGTTTCCTTCTTTCTAGTCATGATTTTTAATTTTAATGACATAATCTATCATATTGTTGTGTAATTTATCCTCCAAATATATTTGATTTGAAGTTTTCAAATTGCAAAGTGCAATTACAAATGGTTTTAGAAGACAAACGCAGGAAATTTAGTGAGTATATCACTTTTATTTATATTAAAATAAATGGAATTTACAGGAATCAAACAATCCGACACTGCAAATCCTGTTTGCTATTTACAAATTTTGTGTATGAGGCAAACCACCCTTTGTGTCCTAATATTTTACCTCGTATGGACGACCATTGTAAACATGATTACATTTTTAAGTGGCCACAGTTTGGAAACCCAGTTGCATGTTGCTCTTCTTGACTTTCTTTTTTGTTCTAAAGTAAGAAATTATTAATATAGTGTATTCACAAATTTAAGGGCTTGAATAAAAACTTAGAACAAGGCCCCCAAACACGGCTTCTTCCCTCACTACTGGCTCTAGAGTAAATAACACTGACACTATTTCTTGTATTTTGCGGGTTCAGCCCACGAATTTCTAGTAAGATCCACTCCGCGAGTGGTTTTAGTTCCACCAGAAAGAGCTTCAACAGAAGTTTTCACACAGAACCACGGCTGGTCGGTCGAATCCTGCATTTGCGTTGCTCACAAGGTTGTAGCTGTGGTTGTGATCGCAGTGGATAAGTAGGTTGAGGAAAGATTCCCTCTCAGCCTCCGAAGACCCTGGTTAGAACACCATGTGTATCACAGACAGTGACTTGGATTCTGGACCCACACAGTTTCTCGCTTGCGCTCGGCCCAGGCCCACTAGGGAGCTCTGCGCAGGCGCAGCAATTGTGCGACATCCGTCACTTACGGCTTGAGAAGCTCGTGTTGGGAGTTGGTGGCGTGATACAGGTCTCTTAGGAACGAACGGCTCGGGCGCGGGTAATTAGCTTCCTTTCTTCTTTTCTTTACTAATTCTAGGTACTTGGGTCTTATGCTGAGCTTCCGGACCTGATGCGAACGTCCAGTCGTAGACCGCTCCACCCTTCCTTTTTACTACTCCCTTGCCCAGGTGGGGGTGAGGGGCGGGGTCGGAAACTAGGCTGGACTCCATCCTGGCGTCTCCACATTGAAATCTCCCGGGTAACTCACGCCTCTTCTTGTTTTCTAAGACTGGTTTCCGGGGACTGGGGCGTGCAGGGTCCGCCATGGAGCCAGAACAGATGCTGGAAGGACAGACGCAGGTACTAGGAGGCCCTTGATTCTGGGTGGCGGTGTGCAGGGATGCAGTGAGAAAGGGGGCTGATGTCGCTGTGACCCTTGTTTTATTTTCTAGGTTGCGGAAAATCCTCATTCTGAGTACGGTCTTACAGACAACGTCGAGGTAACGCATTTAGTTCTTATGCCGCATCTGTGAGTCTCTGAAGAACTGGAGAAAACTTGGGATCGGTTTTCACTAGGCTTGCTTTGCACATGGAAAAAGTTTTATTTTCCTGATCTGGATACCATTACATTATGAGTAGCTTGTTTTACTAACACTAAAATACTTCATTATGTGCAGACGTATAAATTAGTTTTGAGCCAACAGATAAACTTTAAAAATAATTATAAGAAACTAAGACCATCACAATAATTTTACTTGGTGTCTATTAATGCATAAACTGCACATGCTAAAATTAAGGAACTTTCTTGGTAGTGTGCTTGGTAAGTCAACATTTAATGTTCATTATTTTGCAGAATTTAGTAGTTGGTGCCTTTGGAAGCTGTAACCCCTTGTTAGTAAGTGCCAGGAAGTCCGTTCAGGCACGTAGCAACCCTGCATAGGATTTCTGAGGAGCGGCTTGTGGGTTACCAGATAATAGGTGGGATGTTGTGTTTTCAGAGTAGACGTGTTGACTATTTGAGGTAGAGCTAAATTGTGTTGCTAATCTTTAATCCCTAGATTTCATTGAAATGACTACTCTGTGCCTGTAAAATTGCTCGGGATGTTTATTGATTTAATACCCAGTATTAAGAGAATTTATCTCTTCGTATTGCAGTTTTCAGTTGAAATGCTATGCTGAGTCAGGGGAATATACTACACAATACTTTGTGTTGTCTTAAATTTAAGAGTTAGTTATCAGCATCCTTTTCTTAATGGTATCTGTTATACGAAGGCAGTGAGAGCCCTGATACCTTAGAGTAGTGTTTCACAAATGCTATTTCTTTTCCAAACTCTCACACCATTTTCCATTGGCCCATGGTGGCTCCATAAGATAAGTACTGGACTCCAAACCTTAAGGCCAGCAGTTCGAATCCACCAGACATTCCTCAGGAGAAGGATGAAACTTTCTTGTTCCGCAAAGAGACGGGGTCTCTGAGTCAGAACCTACTTGACACTCAATGGTACTAAGCAACAACAACAACATGGTAAAATAGAAAATAAGCACTGTGGAGTAAGAATTTGATAATGGGTTGTTGTTTTTGTTAAGTGCCATCATCCAGTGATAATGGTAGGCATTTTTTTTTTTTCTTTTCTTTCTCTATTCAGTGTTTGGATTTCCATTCTTTTGTAGTCTTAAAATGTCTTAGTATAACTTAATGATGGCAATAAATAGTAATGATATTTTTGATTTGTTTTTAAGTTTTTACTTGGCAAAATACAGAGTTAACAATCCTGTGTTAAAATCCCTTCAATCATCACATTTTATTTTTAACTTAACTTGTTTGAATAGCTAAAAGTGTGCTGCTCTATGGTGATTACAGATGCTGTTGTTTCAGCTTATAAAAGTAGATGCTTTGGGGTTTATAATATATATCTGTAACTTAACACAAGTAGATCTTTTTATGTATAGTATGCATGTCTTACAGCAGTATTATAACTATTATCCTCTCCTAGCATTGTACTATCATTATCATATATTTTATTTCAATATATGTTATATGTGGTTTTTATTTTTCCTATAAGTCACTGGACTGTGAACTGCAAGGTCAGCGGTTCAAGTCTACCAGTTGATCTGTGGGGGAAAGATGAGGCTTTTTGCTTACATAAAGATTTACAGCCTAGGAAACTATACAAGGTCGCTATGAGTAGGAACTGACTTGATGGCACTGAACAAAAATAACAAGTGAAATATATATAGATGTAACAAAACATTCACCAATGCAAAATAATCCCTATTTTTTTCTGAATTGTTCTCCTAACATTCATATAAATTCAGTGACATTGTGCCTTCCCTGCCAAAGCAACTCCCTCCCTCTTTCCTTCCTGCCTCAGGTAACAACTCATAGCTTTGGTTTCTATGTATTTTGCATGCCTATTCCATGTAAGATAGCTAATATAGTATTTGTTGTAATGTGACTAACTTATTTCACTCAGCATAATACTTTCAAGATTCATGTCTGTATTGTAACATGTACAGGACTTCTTGTCTCTTTACGGCTAAGGCTAAGTAGTATAGTCCTTATTGTATGTATACACCACATCTTTTGATGGGTATTCTGATTATTTCCACCTTTTGGATAAGGAACCCTGCTGGCATACTGAGTTACATGTTTGGCTACTAACCGTCAGGTCAGCAGTTTGTCTACCAGATACTCCACAGGAGAAAGATGAGGCTTTCTGCTCCTGTAAAGATTTGCAGCCTCAGAAACCCTATACAGGTTTCTATGAGATGGAAACTACTTGACGGCACATAGCCAGCCAGCTAGCCACCTTTTGGCTATTGTGAAGAAAGGCTGGAATGAACTTTGGTGTACAGATTTCTGTTTGTTTTCCATGTTGTTGCTTTGAGTGTTGTTAGAGTCACTTCCGACTCATCGCATCCCTGTAAAAGGGGTTTCGAGGAGCAGTTGGTGGGTTTGAACTGCTGACCTTTTCCCCATTCCAATGCTGATCTTACAGCACCACACCAGAAGTTCATAGTTATCCCTAAAAACTAGATTTGAACAGGAAGAAAATCAAGTATTTCATATCTAACCATGTATATTTGCCATTTTGGGGGTTGACTCTTTATTCCTTTGTGTAGATCTAGATTTCTGTCTGTTACATTTTCCTTTTGCTGAAGTGCTTGTGTTTCCATTTCTTGAAGTGCAAGTCTGTTTGTGAGGAATTTTTTTCAGCTTTTGATTGGTTGAAGAAGTCATTATTTTGCTTTTCTTTTTTTTAAAGTTTTTATTTTGAACTGAGTGATAGTTTACATGGGGAACATCAGTTTTATACTCATCATTTCATTAGAGTGATTGTAATCTCCTCCTTGCATCATCATTTAACAATATTTGCTTCTATTCCTTCAGTTGTTTTTTTTTGGATGTATACAAAAACACTCAGGAATATAATGACCAAAGGATACATTCTGTAAGCCTGCCTCCTGGCCATTAGCACCTGGCTGCAGCCTTTCTCTTTCCATGAGTCTAGAGTCCTCAGCTACTCTATCTCTCCATGCTTCTTTTTTTTTTTTTTTTTTTTATTAAATGTTTTTATTTTGGATTGAGTGAAAGTTTACAGGGCACATCATCAGCTTCACATTCAACCATTCATATAGCTTGTTTCATTACATTGATTATTATCCCCTCCATATATCATCAGTTTACAGTGTTTCTCTCTATCCTCTTTAGCTTTTTTTTTGGGATGGGGGGGGACTTGCCTTTTTGGAATTTACAGTCTCGGCTTTTAGGGAAGGTTTTTACATTTGTCTGTGGATATCCAGGGCTCATGTATGAGATTACTAACAAGCATTACTGAATAATCAGATGAGGGACAGTCCATGCTTTTCTTTTAAAGATATCTTTGCTTGCTTTAGATGGTGCTTCTAGTTGACATTGTTTCTGATGAGAAATCTGATAGTTTTGTCCCTTTATTTCTATGTGTTTTGCTTATTCTTTTTTAAAAAATTTTTTGGTAGCTGAGTGAAGATTTAGAGAAGATCAAGTTTGTATTCAACATATTCTATACTTTGTTTCATCTCAGTGATTTCAATCTTCTTGCAACAACAACCCCCTCCTTGCCACAACAGTTACGCAGCTCTCTCTCTGTGATTCCTATTTGCATTTTATCTACCTTCCTATTCCTTCTCAACTTTTTCCTTACGAAAATTTTGCCCTTTTGATTTTGAATGATTGACCATTCATTCCATGGTGAGCATACTTCCCTAGCGTTGTTATCCCCTCCTATAAACCTGTCTACTGCTTGGTTGAAAATTGGGCCATGAGGGTGAGTTTCTCTCCAGACTTGAAGCGTGCTTGAGTCCCCAGGTCTTGCCACACTGCTGGCCAACCAGGTCTCCACCCGGGTTCACAGAAGTCTATTGAACATTGTAGGGCTTAGCTTGCAGCTTCATTGCTGTTTTTCCCTCATTTCTCCTTATTGGTGATGAATGTCGTCACCAATCAGAGCATGCCTTCCCATTGAGTGTTAGTCTTGGAAGGGTCATTGTAGATAACTTTTTGTTTTTACTTAGCTTCTCTCCAGATTTTTTCCTTATCTTTGATTTTGAAAAATTTGATTGTCTTGCTGTTTTATTTTGGGGGTTCTATCCTGCTTGGAATTTGTTGAACTTCTTGAATGTCTGTCTTTTTGTCTTTCATTATGTTTTCTTTCAGCAACTCTTGGACAGTATTTTTTGTGGGTTTTTGTGGGGTTTTTTGCCCCTTGTTCTAGGATTCCTATTACATTTAAGTTATTTCTCTTGGTAGTGTCCCACATCTTAGGATTTTTTTGTTCTTTTATTCTGATTGTTAATTAAAATTGTTATTGTTACTGAGAGATTTTTCTTCATGTTTATTAATTTGGCTTTCCATTGATTCAGTTTTTTTTTTTTTTTCCTCTTTCTGTGTATTATCCACTTCTGAAGTCTTCGTGTTAATCTTCTGTCTTTCACACTGCATGGTTTTGTATGGTTCCCATTTTTTCAGTTATTTTGTCAGTTTGTTAACTGATTTTTCCCATGTTTTTGCCTTATGTTTCCTTGATTTGTAGTTTTCTAGCACTTTTTTTCAATCTGTTGAAATTACCAATTTATCATTGTTTGAAATTCTTTATCTGGTAATTCTGATACCATTTCTCATGTTGTATTTTCTGACTCTTTATTTTGGTGACTTGTTTGACACACTTTGTCTAGTTTCTTTGTATAAGTGCCCCGTCTCTCAGGAGGACACAAGAACAAGGGAGTACTGCACCCCCTGGGTGTCAATCTCCAGCTCTATCCTATGCCCACAGCCTGTAGTATCCATACCCTCTCCATGACAGCCCACAGTAGGCTCATTGTGGCTGCCTGTCCCATCATCTTGCCCTGGACTCTATAATCGCTTCCAATTTATTTTTTTGAATGTCTGTCTTGAGCATAAGGAGCTCTGGTAGCGTAGTAATTACGAATTGGGCTGCGAACTTCAGGGTCAGCAGTTTGA